TTTTGTGGAAGGCAATTAAGGTAAATACAAAAAAGCTCCGATAAATACCAGTGTTAATTAACTTGCATATTTTTCTGGAATATCATCTGAAATGGTATTTCTCTATAATTTGACAAGCTTTTTCTGGATACTTTAAAAAAAACTGAAATTAAAGAGAGAATGCAGGTTAAGAAGACCTTGATATAAGAGTATTAGGCTGGAAGACTGTATCCACCAATATAAAATTTTAAGTCAAGCTTGATTCCTAGACATATCTATATAGTTTTCTTGGCAATGATATTTGTCATTATTGCCTTTTGTGGATATTCCCTCCACCCATTCATCTTTCTTTTTCATAATCATATCATTTTATTCTCATTGTGTTCTTTTTCATTGTTTATTTTATTGTTTTAATATCCTACCTCTGTTCTATTTACACTCTTTTCATTTTTTCCTTTTTATTGTTGTCAGCCATCTAAAGTAGTCCCATGGTGAGAAAGGTGGCAAATAAATTTAACAATTTTTTTTTCAGTATTTTTATTGAACTTAACAATCTTGAGAATCCCTGGAAGTCCATTTTCCAAGAGCCGACAAGTTTGACACTCCTCAGATTTTCAAATAAAGACTAGGGCTTTTAGGTCTTGGATGCAAAATTCTAGATGACTATTACCGGTAGATGGTGGCAAAGATATCCAAAAACAATGACATTTAGTAGTCATCCAGATTTTTGCAGTCTAGCTCTGGTGGCCCTAGTAGAGACTGAAGTCTGAAAATTGGCAATCATACATGTGGTATCAGCTAAATCAATATCCCTGGCCAAGCAGTCGTGATACAGGACATTTTAAGGTCAGATTTCCTATAGCAATTGAACAATTTAGAAACAAAGAGAAATGCTTTCATTTTGTCAAAATTGTAGTTTTGAGGCAAGGGATGTATAAACTTTTTCTTTACTGTTGTGCTAATTGAACTCTTCCATTTTCATAACAATATGGGAAAATAAAGTAGTGTAATAATACAGCTGCCAGCCCTCAAATCACCTGTGACCTAGACCAAAATTTCAGATTTGTTAAATAAAAAAAATGTCATTATGGTCTATGTCAACATTCACCAGTATGCCACTTTCTTGCTGACCAGGAATTTTGAAAGCTGCAATTGCAACAGGTTTAGACAATGTTGACAAATATTTAGATGTATACATATTTAGATGTAGCTAGAAGGACCTAACTTTGTCAAGTTTTTCTGCCTAGGACAGTAGATGTAAGCCAAGCATGTTGAATTATAACTGTTTAGCTGGGCAGTGTTGGGCTTCAGAATTTAGTGACCATTGTCTAGACAACAGATTACCTGATATTTTGCCAGCAATTGTGGCTGACATTTTCAAAGGAAAAGGGGTCTACTATGTAGACCATAGGCAACTGAGCAGAGATTGACTGGGCTCCTCTCTTTGCAATCAGGTGTGCTTACTACTTCTGTTTGGTCTTTAGCCTAAATCACAGGTTCAAACTTGATCATGTCATGTGGTGTATTGTGAAATATCATGATGTTTTTTGCCTTTGCAGAGCCAGGGTGGGCATGGCATCTAGCTTGCGGGCTGCCAGTTTGACACCACTGGCCTAGATGATTTCTGAATGATGCAGACTCATCTGTTCAGTTTTTAAGCTATGTTTAAATACATTTGGCTATATTTGGCTAATTCATGGGTTTATTCAAACAGCTCTCTTTCCATGATTAAAAAGTGAACATCAAAACTGTTCTATTAAATTCATTTGTCCCCTTGCTTTTCCAAACCCCAAAGGGAGAGAAGGCTCAAACAGACTAGGTTTCTGTATTGTACTCAGGGAAGATTTTGTGGCTGCACAGGTATCACATTTGAGAAACAGAGGCTGAAAAAACCTATGAAGAAGGTGTATATTGGCCCTAAGTAAATCCAAAGCAAAAATAGGGGGAAGGGAAGTAAGTCCGTATGGCTGTTTTTGTACTCCAATATCCCATACTTTCCTTGTTGTTTCTGTAGTTCTTTTCATATTAGGTAGAAGATTTAAATGAAAAGCCAGCATAAGTGGGCACCTTTGTGTTATCATAAATCCCTGAATGTAGTCTCAATTAATGTCCACAGTTGAGACCAAAACCTCTGTTGCTAAGAGATGGGCATTAAGTGAGTTACACTCGATTTTATGGCCTTTTTGCCACAGTTACTAAGCAAAATTAGCTTCTCCATTGACTTCCTTTGTTGGAAGTCCTCTGAGAAGATTGCAAATGGTGATCACATGACTTTGGGACACTGTAGTAATTATAAGTGTGAGAACCAGTCATACACACTTTTTTCCATGGGCTGTTGTAACTTCAAACAGTCATTGAATGGTCGTAAGTCAAGGACTACCTGTAAGGGTGTGATTGTTCAGGAGCATCCATAGCGATGTAGTCAACAACACAAACATTTTCCCTCAAGACTTTCTGGTTATCAGCCGCAGTCTGTAGATGAGATAAACTGAAGCCATCCTACTTTTTTTTTTAATTTATGGATGACAATTTCTGCATTGAAGCTGGTTATTTTATCTCAGTTTTGGTAACATTAAGATCTGTTGCTGTTTACATGGTGTGTAACTTGTAATGGCATCTCTTTCATGTTACAACCTGGAAGGGCATCAGAATTTTAGGATCAGCTCTTCCACTATGATTCTCTCATTTTATCAGTATACATTAATAAGGACTTTAATACTCTTTAATTTAACTTATAATCCCCCCCAACTCCATTATATGCGAAGGCAGATGTTTCAACCTTATGAATAATCAGATGTAAATTAACTAACTGAGGTGAAAATTTACCTTGAACTTCTCTGGCTCACTTAAAAGGAAAAGAATGCAAGCATGAAATTAATTTTATTTACCGTTAAATGATAAACTGGAACATGAATTGCAGTAATGTAAAAATAAATTCATTTTAGCATATAGGAGAAGTTAAATGTCAGCTCAGTTCCTTAGAAATAGTTAACAGTTTTTTAAAACATTGTGTTGCTACTTCATAACAGAAACTCTTAAACAACTTGAAAAAAAAAAAAGACTTCAGGATTTCTGACAGTATAGCTCTCTGCCGATAGAAATAAAGTTCATTGCCATACTTCAGGCTTGAACGTGCTTGCTTTTGCAGTAATAGTAGGCACAAAAAAATTAATGCTGGATGAGACTCGAAGGCCCATTAATTGTTTTTAGTTCCCATAAAGGCCAGCCAGGGGCCTTCAAATGCAAGACATAAGCCTGTGAAATTCATTAGCCCAAAGCAAAATGATAGTCAGTAATTAGGATGGACTTAAATAGGATCAGATAAATTCATACCTCAGGTTGGGGGTTAGCCTGTCTTCAGATATTAGCTGCAGGGAAACAATGGATATTATATCTCCATATCTTACTTGTGAACAGCCCAAAGGCATCTGGACGGCCTCTGAGAGGAAGAAGATGCCAGACTAAGCTAAGCCCTAGTTTGATCCATCAAGACTGTTCTTAATTTTTTTATCAGAACAGGGTCCATGTAATCATATCCATATTAAGAAACACATTTTCTCTGGCCCTGGAGGTATCGTTGTTTTTCAGTTTCTAGGTTGTGTCTGACTCTTCGCGATCCCATGGACCATAGCCAGTGGTGGGATTCAAATATGTGAACAACCGGTTCTCTGTGTGGATGCTGCTTCCGGAAATCCATTCTGGGACTGGGTAACAAAAGATTAGCTACCGGTTCTGCTGAAGTGCTGCGAATCGGCTGAATTCCACTACTGACCATAGCACACCAACCCTCCACTGTCCTCCACTGTCTTCCAGAGCCTGCCCAGACTCATGCCCACTGCATCAATGACACTATCTAACCATCTCATGCTCTGCCATCCCCTTCTCCTTTTGCCTTTAGTCTTTCCCAACAGCAGGATCTTTTCCTCTCTTCTCAATTGGTCGCCAAACTATTTGAATTTCAGTTCAATGTCTACCTTTCCAAAGAATCGTTTCTTCTTCTACTTCAGCACACCATGTATAATTTCATACTCTTTGTATATTCACTTTATTTCTAAGAAAAGTTGTTCCAGCCTGTGTAGTTTTCTTTGGCCTTTCACGCATGTTAACAGTTCCTCTGTCTGTGTATATACTGTATGTATCTGTGTACATATGTTGACCAAATGTCAAAACTCCACTAATCTTTACTCATATTCAGTAAATAATTAAAATAAATCATATATGAGAATTGCCCGTAAAAGGTTTTCATGACAGGGTGTAACACATGCAAATAAGTTGTCAGTGATAATTTAACAATTCATAATGATAGAAAACTTTCATCTGAATTTTAAAAACCGGATTTGCAGTCTGCTTCATAACAAATGAAGGGTTACATCTGTTCCAGATAAACAACATTCCTACACCTTGTAAAGTAGAAACTGTTGTCAGTCATGTACAGCTACAAGAAAACTGATAGGTCAATAGGAGATTTTTCCCTTATTACTCTTGCCTATTGGGAGAAGACCGACATCAGTTTTTCACTGGGAATATAGTCCTCTTGTGGTTTGTAATATGGAATCTGCTTTTCAGTGACATTTGCTGTGCACAGTAAGGCTTCCCCTTTGTATGTTTTACCCAGCGTTTTTGCACTTATCATGTTATTCGTAGTGGGAGGAAAACAAATGGAATAAGGATGAATGTATATATACCATATATGCCATTGGCGCCGGAGGCCTTTTTTTTTTTTCTTGCAAGCTTTCTCAACGACAAGCTAGATGAGAACCAGCCCCTGAAATGCCAACCAAATATCAGATACAGAAAAAAATATATTGTGGAAAGAAGAAATTGTCTGTCAGATTTGATCAGTGTCATGAAATAGTCTGTCATCCTAGTACTAGATGTTTTGTTCAGATACAAATGCAGCTGCCATTCTTGATTGCTCCCGAATGCAGATGAGGTAGATGAGGAAAAGAATATAAGGGAAGCAGTACTGATTTTTCACTCAGTTGTCTTAAAGGTCTTCCGTCTTCCTCTTTCCTTTTCAGGAACAACGTGTTTGATTGCTTTACTGTCCGATAAAGAGCTCACAGTGGCCAATGTTGGAGATTCAAGGGGGGTTTTGTGCGATAAGGATGGAAATGCTATTCCTTTGTCTCATGATCACAAGCCTTATCAGCTGAAAGAAAGAAAGAGGATTAAAAGAGCTGGTAAGTTGCTAATATAGGATGTGCGGTTTGTTTCTTTGTTTTACATTATGGCAGAATGTTATATTTGTTCATTTTTTCCCCATTCTTTCGTCATTTTATTTATTGCAATGTGATGGTAATGAATTGTCTGGAGAATTGTGGCAAAATAAAAGATGAACACTATAGAAGAGGAGAGGAAAAAGTATTAAACAAATTGTTGTGAGCAAAGGTGGAAATAATGTCTACCCTTGTCTTTCCATCTTCCAAAGTCAAGCTGATGGATTTCCATCAGCTGTAACTATTCTGTCCTTACTACACGTTACTGTGTGTGCAGCTTGACATGCAGCTAAACCCACCTATCCTCCAATAAAACAGACCGTGTTCATAGATATGAATGCTTTATTAAAGGAACAGGATGGGTGAAACTGGGAAAAAATAGAAATATATATAATAAAAATCCAAATACAAAATAAGCAGTATTTCATTACTAGGGGACATAACAATTAACAAATATAGATCAATCTAAATCTCACCAGTGATGCTGTGTGTATGGGATGTGGGTTTTATCTTCAGACGACCATGTGCCACAAATCAGGCTGGATTCTTCCTGGTGCTGGTGCCTCTGCTTCTCTCCAAATGCTAAAGGAAATGGAATCTGGGAATGAGGGTTCATTGGTAAAGGGGTTGGGTTAGCTTCAAAACAATAGATTGGTTTTGTGTGTGTGTGTGTGTGTGTGTGTGTGTGTGTGTGTGTATGTATGTCTGTATGTATATGTGTGTATATATATATATTCAATAATGATGGTGAAAATGCGACTCCCGGGCATAATTATGAATGGAATGAATAAAGCGCGTTCACCAGGAGAGTTTAAAGTTAAAATACTTTAATTAAAGTATTTTACTATATTAAAAGGTTGCCAAGCTTTCGTTGGGAAAAAAATCTGCAGAAGAATTTTTAACTAGAATTAAGACCCTTAGGGTGGAGGATGATGAGATGATGGTGTCGTTCGATGTCACCTCTCTCTTCACCTCCATTCCCCAGGACTTAGCCATCTCTGTCCTGAAAGAACGTTTGACATCTATGAGTGAAAGTCATCACCAAGATTCCCTTCAGACGGAAGACCTCGTGAAATTGATAGAAATATGTCTCCAGACTTATTTCACATTCCAAGGTACCATCTATGAACAAATAAAAGGAACCCCGATGGGCTCCCCCATTTCCAGTATTATAGCTGAGGTAGTCCTTCAACAGCTTGAACATAAGGCTATGACTTTATACCAACCCAAATTTTGGGTTCGATACGTGGACGATACATTTGCCATTGTCAAAAGACAACATGTAACTACATTTATGGGAATATTAAATTCCATCTACTCTGACATAAAGTTTACTGTAGAGGAAGAAAGACACAATTCTCTTGCCTTCTTAGATGTTTCCATCCACCGTCAACCAGATGGATACCTACATACGAAGGTATTCCGTAAACCAACCACACGGATAGAATCCTCCATTATCAGAGTAATCATCCTGTTTCCCATAAAATCAGCTGCATAAAAACGTTATTTAAACGCGTTGACTCCCACTGCAGCACGGATGAATATAAGAAAGAAGAGAGAAGACACCTCTTCCGTACGTGCATATATAACGGTTATCCATTAAAATTTATCAAACGACATTGTACAACTTTCCAGCACCAGACCACCCAACGAAGAAGGGATTCCCCCCTACAAAAAACACGCATCTCCCTCCCATACATAAGTAACATCTCAGAGGCCACAGCCAGACTACTAGCACCCCATGGTATAGAAGTAGCTCACAAACCTAACCAAACCCTACGATCAAAAATTATGCGTCCAAAGGACCCCCTACCTACCATGGAGAAATCTTCTATTGTTTATAAGATCAATTGCAAAAACTGCGAAGGCAACTATGTGGGAGAAACAGCCAAATGCTTGAAAACTCGCCTCCACGAACACAAACTGGCCATAAAACGAGGCGAACTACACTCACAACTTTGGATGCATATGGCACAACAAGGCCATCAGTTTGACTTCAATAACACCCTTATCATAGCCAGTGATGCCATGAAGGGAGGTCGGCTGCTAAAAGAAGCCTGGTTCTCGAATAACAACTCAATCAATCGTCACATTGCACCCAGCACAACAAGCGCTACGAAAATGGAACTCAAACCATCATCCTTTATATCACAAACCTTACAATCAACATCCACAACATTCTAAACCAGGAGCTACACTTCCTCCCTACCAGAAACAATCTGATATAGACTACCCAGAAACCTCCCAACAATATCAAGGGGAAACCACACCCCCTTTAATTGGAGAAAACAACAACAATGACATTGGAGCGCTTAAGAAATTTGAGGATAGAACCACTAAATTTAGCACTACCCATAATAATAATAAAGGTGGATATCCCATACAGAGAGGGGAGAAAAAACATGTGATGACGACCCGTTCGCTTGATAAAAGGGAAAGTAACATGAGCGGGGAATCTGCCCAAATACCAACAGACTTTTGCTCACAGAAATGGGGGGGATTTAACTTGAATATTAACCTACGAGGGAAGATGAGCATGGGGGACACCATGATGGAGGAGGATGATTCAAACATTGAAAAATACCACATCCAGTTGATGCTTGTACATGTGAGCGAATATAAATACGGGAGCACGCAGCAGAGGAAAGATGTTAAATTGCAGTTGATGAAGCCCCGCCTCCATGGTAGGATACACAATGACATCAAACTAAATCCCCCCACTGCAACGAGAGCCAGTACTGCCGGGAGAGGGCGGAACATAACTAACAATACCCCCTGAGGTCGACGGATATGTGAACAAAAGTGCTCGAGAGAACGACGGAAGAAATCTTTACTCTGATTCCCCCTCCCACCTATCAGCTGTTCAGCAGGGAATGCTAGCACAGTCTAGGAACCACGCGCAGACGTCTATGGAACCCGTTTCAATCACCTTGTTAGAAACGGTCTCTCAGCCCTGAAGATGTTGGGGAATTTTTCCCAACGAAAGCTTGGCAACCTTTTAATATAGTAAAATACTTTAATTAAAGTATTTTAACTTTAAACTCTCCTGGTGAACGCGCTTTATTCATTCCATTTATATATATCGAAACGTCGCCAAGACACTTCCAATTTTATGCGGGAGAAAACCCGAATAACCAAAGACACCTATATATGTATGTATGTATGTATGTATGTATGTATGTATGTATACATATACATACATACATACATATTATATGCTGGGCATGACAACAGATCCACTATACATAATTCCTGGTGCCTTTATTATCTGCAGTTTCTGAACATAGCCTCATTCTCATGGTAACTCTAATATCAGTATTTAGTATTGCATCCTCAACATGTTGTACAACATCATACAAGTCATACAAATGCAATCAAAGGATCTGCATAGTAGACCTAAATAGAGGCAACAGGGTGTTAAAACACTGAAGACTTCATCTGCTGCATTGTAACTCAGGTCTTAATGTCTGAATTGTTACATGGCCCAAAAAAGCAATACTAATTTCCACACACAGGAAGGAAGATGGGTTTATGGAAATATAAAAATACTAATGCAAACTGTCTAAGATTCAGTAGCCTTGGAATGAAGGGATGACTGGAATTCTTTAGGCTACAATATATTCTGCGCAGGTCCTATTGCATTTTAAAAATTCATGTTAAGTGCCATCTTCACAATATCTCGTAACCCAAATTGGCCATTTCTACAAGTGATGAACAGCCTGACTGGAAGCAAGGTCATTGAATGATCCCAATTTATAGTATTGAAAGATAGGGGAGAGTACCTATCTCTCATTCTAAAATCATGTATATTTTAATGTGCTATTAATTTAATGTTTTTTTTTGGAAAATGTATATTTTCCTATTTGGAAAGGTGTTATGAGCAATCTTTTGATTAAGTTAGAAAAATCCATCCATCCTTTGGTTGAGGCCACCCAAAATGGCACAAAATAATGTAAAAGTTTTGGAATTCTCCGTAACACTTCATCAAGCAAAATGTTCCCAAAAATGAGATGTGAATAAAGCAGAAAAATTCAGAACTGTTGTACTTTTTTCAGCCACAAAGTTGGCCACCAGATAGAAATGCTAGATTGAATACATTAGCCAGTAGGGAATATTTCCAATTTTAAGTTGTACTGGACATTGAAGGACATGTTATTTTTAGTTTTCTCCAAAGAGAAAATTACAATATTCTAGTGATGTTTTTTTAGACACACAATCAGGACAGGCGGTTTTCTATTCAGTTCTGAGTATATATTGCAGCCATTTCACTGAGAGCTTACTAGGCTCTAGAGCTGTAAAATGTCTGTTCCTTATATAAATTAAGTTTACTCAGGAAGAACTTTCATTTACTTTCAGCTTGAGCTCTTTTATAATATGCAGCTGTGCCTAAATCAGAAATTATTCCTTCTTCAACAGCATCTTAACATACAGAATATTTGTTTAATATGAGAATTTTTAAGAATACTTGAGATATGTAGGGTGTTTTCTAAAGTGATTTGTGAGGGTACATTTTAATCTTAGAAAATTATTCTTATCCAGCAGTAGGAAACACTAAATTTTCTAGGTCAGTGGTTCTCAACCTTTATTTCACCACGGAGCCCGTTTAAATACCTTTTGTGGCTACAGATCGTGGCCATGGACCATCAAAAACTCAAGATTTAAATCATAATATTTCTTCAAGGCTACGCAGACTGCCTGTGGGATATTGCAACCCCCCCAGGTGTCTGCGGAGCACAGGTTGAGAGCCATTGTTCTAAGTTATAAGATTTCAGAAAAACACCTTCCTAGGAATATCTGTTGGCCTCAAAGATTAGGATAATAGAGTTGATTCCATCAGCCATCTCTTTTCTATAAAAATGATACAAGGAGAGAAAAAGGAATACAAAAAGCAGAGCTTGTGCAGCTTGAAAATGTATTCAAATATATTTTTGCAAACTGTAAAGTCTGAACAAGGAAGTATATACCTTTCCTCTTATACTTGTCTGTATTTTTATGATCATTATTGAGATCAAATCATCCAGCCATCATCCATTGTTCTTTACTCTGTGGCTTTAGGCATTGTGGCATTTTACTAATGTAAAATAGCATAAAGTAAGCTCAATAAAATATGTGTGGGTTTGGAAGGTAGTTGAGAGCATAGGGATAATAAGAGCTTACATAGTTGTAAAAATAGAAGTGCAGATTATACCCAGTTTATTTTTATTTGTATTTATCCTTGGTTTTGCCCTTTTCCATTTCTATAAACATTCAAGGTAGCTTTCAACAGTTTTAGAATACAAAATAAAAAGGACAATAGAATCAGTGCAATTAAAATCAAAAGTAAAAAATTAAAGTCAGTTTTCTTAAAGCAAATTACCAGTTTAAAAGGGTTTAATTGTAAATTACTATGATAATTCTTTTAATGGCAAGCAATGCAATCATGTTTAAAATGAATAAATAATAAATAAAAGTTTGGCAAAAGAAACAACCTTGTTCCATTTCCCTAATTCGTTCTTGCTTCAGTTTCCTTGTGTGTTGGGTGGTGTTGCTGTGAAGTTCTTGGGGAAACTGTTGAACCCAATTCTGAGAAGTTATAATTGTAGAAGACTAATTTGCACTTTACAAATGAACATTAATTCCTTTCTGTTACCATACACTAAAGGAGGTGAACCCTAACCCTTTACTCAGAGACAGTAAATCCTTCCACTTAAAAAAAAATGCATTTTAATCTATAGCGAAAGAGAAAAGGGAAAAAGAAGATTGACCAGTAATAAAAGACGATACAACCACCCCCCACCCCCCAGAAAATAAGCATCAGGCCGGACTGTAGGGGAGAAAGAAAGAAATAAAGGAATGAAAGATTTTTTTAAGAAAAACAATAAAGCTTTTTCTCACTGTAGAACAATGGAGATTCTATCGGTTCAGGCTTTTGCCTCTTCACTTCTTTTATCTCCCAATGAAGGCAGCAGGCAAGTGGAAATGGCCAGCTGAGCTGGAAGCAAAAACTCTGCCAAAATATCTTGTTTTACATAGTGGGCTAAGAAGGGGTTTTTTTTTCCTTTCTTTTTTCTTCTTCCTTATATAACATTATTTTAGGTGATATAAATCAGCAGATGGGACCAAAGTACAGGTAGTATCTGTTACAGGTATAACGGTTGCTTAGTGACTGAAGTTACAACCTACCTAAAAAAAGTAATTCATGGCCCAGATATGAGGCTCTGACAGTCAGCCTCCCCCTGTGGTCACATGACACCACTTTGGGCTCTTGGCAACATGTGACTGCATTTTATGACGGTTTTGCTGAAAACCAACACTTAGTTCCGGTTATGCTTTCATCATAACTAGGAAAGGTCGTTCTATGAAGCAGTTGCTAAAATGAGGACCACCTATGTGAGCATTAGTAGACAAGCTCAGAGACTCCAATTGAGCTCCAAGGGCCAGTTCAAAATTTGAACTGGATTGAAGTTTACGGAAATGTTCGCACAAGATTGTTTTGTTTTGTTTTTGTTTTGTTTTGTTTTGTTTTGTTTGCAATTAAGACAGAGTTGTAAAATGTACCAGGGGAATTTATTGTTCTCCTTTTGATACCTAAGAAAGGTGCTGGTTGGAGTGTTTCAGAGCTAGATGGAACTTCCTTGAGTAACTGATGATGAAAATATTAATAATAATAATAATAATAATAATAATAATAATAATGATGATGATGATGATGATGATGATGATGATAATGATGATGATGATGTCATCTAGTCCAACCCCCTGCTCAGGCAGGAAACCCTATACCATTTCGGACAAATGGCTGTCCAGTCTTCTTAAAAACTTCCAGTGTTGGAGCATTCACCGCTTCTGGAGGCAGGTTGTTCCACTGGTTAATTGTTCTAACTGTCAGGAAGTTTCTCCTTAGTTCTAGGTTGCTTCTCTCCTTGGTTAGTTTCCACCTTTTGCTTCTTGTCCTGCCTTCAGGCGCTTTGGAAAATAGCTTGACTCCCTCTTCTTTGTGGCAGCCCCTGAGATATTGGAACACTGCTATCATGTCCTCCAGTCCCCTAATCATCTTTTTTGCTCTTCTCTGTACTCTTTCTAGAGCAGTGTTTCCCAAACTTGACAATTTTAAGGCATGTGGACTTCAACTCCCAGAATTCCACAGCCAGCAACGCTGGCTGTGGAATTCTGGGAGTTGAAGTCCACATGCCTTAAAATTGTCAAGGTTGTGAAACACTGTTCTAGAGTCTCAACATCTTTTTTACATCGTGGTGACCAAAACCGGATGCAGTATTCCAAGTGTGGCCTTACCAAGGCATTGTAAAGTGATATTAACACTTCACGTGATCTTGATTCTATCCCTTTGTTAATGCAGCCCGGCACTGTGTTGGCCTTTTTGGCAATTGCAGCACACTGCTGGCTCATATTTAGGTGATTGTTCACTAGGAATCCGAGGTCCCTCTCACAGTTACTACTATTGAGCAAGGTATTATTGATGACTGTATTGCTAATAATCTTCTCACCCCAGGTACTGTTCTTACAGTATTTCAGTGGTACCCAGCCAAAGTACTTTGTCCCATTGCTTTGAAATGTGGCTCTTCCTTACCTGTTTCTTCTATTTCTGCCTGTGAATCCAAAAGTGAAGGATAATTATTTTCACAAGAGCTTTTTTTCTGAATCATTACTGTTCCTGTTCAACCAGATGTTCTTGATGAGAAAGATAAGTTTTTGCTTGTATGCGCTTTTCTTTTTTTCATGCCCTGGAGTGAGATTTTGACTTTTATATGACTGGTCTGATATCCCAATTCCATTATAAATCTTTGCAAATGAGTGTGTACCTCTTCTTGAATTATCCCAGAGGGATACACAGTGCATGATTAAAATGAGGGGGAGATTGCCTGAGCACAGGAAAGAAAATGTCCTTTATATTGCAAACAACAGAGATGAAGGTTGAATTTTCTTCCTGATCAGCAATTTGTCATATATATGGATGAACTTGCCTACGGAAATCCATGTGTCTTACCATTTCAATAGCAACAGCAAGGATATTGATTTAATCTTAACTCCTTGTGGCAACGTTTGGATATTTCCTGTACTTTCTGCATCAGGTATAAGATTCAAAACATAAAATGTATCATGATAGAAAAGGATATGTTCTGAATATGTTTTTGTTTTTCTAATAGTGCCATTTTCTTTTTACTCTGTATGCATGTAAGACCCAGAGACAAAATTAGTATAGGAAGGAACACCAGCACTAGGGATTGTGGGCCAAATATAATTAAAAAGCCAGAGTGTTTTCCAAACTTCCTGAAAATAGATAAATCAGGATCCAGAGTTTTGGAAAGTGGAAGTCCCACTGCAGAGCCCATATTTACTTCAGCACTGGATTGTAAGCTGGGTCACATACAATACAAGTGAGTCCAATAACATCTCCTTTAGCATCTGTCAAGCTTTTGGTGGTAATTCATTTATTGTGTTCCATTTGTTAAAATTTAAAATTATAACATGTGGGAGATTTATAGAGTTTTTCAGGGGTGAGATCTAAGCTTTTGCTCAGTGTACAAATCCATTAAACCAGAGGTCCCCAACCTTTTGAGCACCAGGGACCCATTCGGTGGAGAGAGGTTTTTCTGGTTTCATGTACTGCCTGCATCTCACGGATGGGGCTTTACTTGTTTATGCGGACCGGTTTCAGGCATGCTGCAGCCCGGTGCCCGTCCACAGACTGGGGGTTGGGGATCCCTGCACTAAACCATCCCAACTTAGTTTTTGTTTCAAAATTAGCCCCCTTTCAAAAACCACCTGTGACAAAGTTCAATTTTAGAAAGATGATTCCTTTACAACACAAATATGGAAAAAATCCTTATAATATTCACCTTGCATCTCCTTTAATTTCAACCCTTTCTTTACTTCAATCAGAGAACAGATTCCTCTTCCTGTTTTTCTTTTTTTTATATTTATAGGCACCAGCCTTAGATAGTGATGTTGGGCCAGTCATTAAACTTTTAGCCCAACCAAGACAATAATGGCAAGCCATTTATCAAAATGTTGCCTAGATAATAACATGGACTAATCCTTGTAGTTATCAAGAGTCAAAGCAGACTGAATAGAAAGTAGGTGCATATATATACACACACACAAGCAAACTGTTTTCATCTCTCAGTCTTCTCTTTTGTAACCTAAATCTGGTCAATTCCTTCACCATTCCTCATAGGGTATGGTCTCCAGATCCCTTATAATCCTAGTAGTTTTGAGATGCAGACAGCAGTTTCACCAGTTTATTGCATGGTAAAAGGGTCTTTTGTGACCATGGTATGCTCTCAAAATTTCAAATGTATCTGCTGGTTCAAAATACCTAGTGATTTTAAGGTAGACAGGGGCATGTAGTTATGGTTTTCTGGCTATGTTTGCCTTAAGTTTGGAATCCTTTCCCTATGTTGAAAAAAAACAGGGATCAATTGATGAGCAAGATTTCCTTCCTATGTCTTGGCAACAGACATACTGGTACATTATAAGAAAGGGTTTTCTTAAGAAAAAACATGGTGAAGTTACTTGGTTTTCCTAACTGATTTAATAACCTAGTGTCATGGAAGCTTCTCAGAACAATTTCCCATAAACACAATTTAATCATTTTTTTCCTCTCCTTCTCTCTTCCAGGTGGCTTCATCAGTTTCAATGGTTCCTGGCGTGTTCAGGGGATCCTGGCCATGTCTCGTTCTCTTGGGGATTACCCGCTGAAAAATCTGAATGTTGTCATCCCTGATCCAGATATCTTGACCTTTGATCTGGACAAACTCCAGCCAGAGTTCATGATCTTAGCTTCCGATGGGCTCTGGGATGCTTTCAGTAATGAGGAAGCTGTGCGGTTCATCAAAGAACGTTTAGATGAGCCACATTTTGGAGCCAAGAGTATAGTGCTCCAGTCTTTTTACAGGGGATGCCCTGACAACATTACAGTCATGGTGGTTAAGTTCAAAAGCAGCAATAAAGTAGAAGAACAATAAAAAGAGAAAGAAAGGGGGGGAAGGAAGAGAAAAGTAATACCACACTCTGCCTCTCACTTGGTGAACTTCTTCATTTAACCTTTACATTCAACACAGTAGGCGTTTGTAGCAAGTATATTAGTGTTAAAGTTGTACATCCCAAAACGAAAGTAGAAAAACCACTCTTTTTGCTAAACACAGCAAACAAAAGTCAACAATTCAATTTATTTTATTTTTTAATGAAAAGGATCTCTTTTATTTTCTAGATCTCTAATGATCTCAGCTTAGAAAATCCTTCAATTATAAAGGACTGTGACTCCTGCTTCAGAGTCTGCAATTCCCTTAGTCTTCATATAATAGCTTAGAATTGCATTTGGATTTGGGCAGCTGAGATATGAGACTTGAGACTGGCATAGGATTGCCATCAGTGTGACTATTCATTCTAGCATCGTCTCCTTCATATTGCTATACCTGCTTAGTTAAAACTTAGTTAAACTGCAAAAGGAACAAAGGCAGGTAGCTAACAGTTTGTAGTTGTTGACTCAAAACAAGGAGGTATCAATGGGTCCGCAACTACTGTCCCTTCCCGTTAGTATACATCCTGCTATATCATTAGCATTAAACAATTGAGCTTTTCCATTGCCATGTTTTAAGGTTTGTGTGCATGCCTCTGAATGATCTTTGTTTCTTTTTAAAAATCTAGCCAGTAGATAGCTTTTGAGGTCCATGCTCATTGAAAAATGTCCCCTTTATTAATTCTTGTTTCTGGATGGGCTGAATTAATTCTTGTTTCTAGTTTAGGGTCGTAACTCTGTGCAATTCAGACATCAAAAACTGGTATAAAATGTATCTTTAGCTTAGAAGATTCTGATATAAGACTTTAGCATTTCTAAACTTGGTATTTAGAGGATAAGGCTAGGATATTAATGAAGCCAGCAAACTGAAATAGGAACTTAGTGCCAAACTGGTGAAAAAAACAGGTAGAGCATTTTTTTTCTTTTTTCATTAGCAGTGAAGCTTTGTTCCAAAACAGAAAAATTAGCAAGCAAGTTTTACAATTTAAATATTTAATGATCTAAATCATCATAAGCCAGGCCTAGTAGTAAGTGTTGCCTGCATATACAGTAGCTGCAATTTAAAATCTATGGAGTTTGGTACAAGCTGGCTGCTTAATTCCAGTGTGCCTATCATTTGCGTATCTCATGATCAGCTTTCTGCAGATTGATAGCTCCAGATGTGTTGGGCTGCAGTTCTCATAATTCCAGTTCCAACATCTGGAAAGTGAAAGGTTGAGAAGGCTTTGGGTAACAAGATACACTTTGTTGTAATCAGTGATGGTATCTGACCTTGAGCTATTTGCTGCATCATTCAAAATGTAACTTCTTTCTGTCATTCAAATTATGAAGCATGACCAGGCATTCTGATTTACGATGGATCCAGTAGAATTTTTCTGCAAGCAGAAGAGGCATTAATGGATGCTATCACTGAGGAACTGAAATAGCATTATATTTCCAAAAGAAAATAAAATTAGACTTGTTAATATATGGAATATTGATCATGTCTACAGGCTGTAATTTAGAATCAAAACTATAGAAACATGAGTCAAAATGCCCCATTAGATTGCTACAAAGATGTTCTAATTAAGGTGCTCTAATTAATTGGACATTGCCAGGATTAATAATTTGTGACGTGCTATTTAATCTTATTTCATTCTCCGTTGGTATATAGAGGATTAACTCAGAGCCAATAGGGAAGGTGGCTTAGTCCATCCCTGAAGTGGTTGGGTAACTTGAAATTCATATAGTGAATTAACACAGGGGTGGGCAACTATGGCCCTTTTACAACCTGTAAAGCATGGCTGGCTCAAGAATTCTGGGAGTTGAAGTCCATAGGTCATAATAAGGCCATAATTGTCCACCTCTGGATTAAGATATACCAAGTGTGCATTAGTTGCTTCTGATGTCTTTGTTTCTTGCCTTTGTTATGTCTTCTTAGAGACATTACTTAGATTCTCAAAATACTATTAGGTTTGCTAGTTTTGATTGAATGATTACATGCCATCAAGTTGATACTGACTCTTGCAGACTATATAGATAGAGTTCCTCCATGATGATCTGTCCCTAACCTGGTCCTTCAGCAGTTCCACCGGTACACTCATTTGTCCTGTTGACCTCTTCTTTTTTTTCCTTCCCCCATCCCAGCATTAAAACTTTTTCCAGAGAGCTATGTCTTTGCGTAATGTCTAAAACGGGATGGGTTTCCTAGTTTTAGCTTCAGATTATTTGGGTGATGAAAGAAAAATAACAATATGCTTCCCCGATCTTTATTTTGTTGCATGCTTGAATAAAAATGAAGAGGCATCTTCAAGTTAAAGGCCTATTTTAAAAAAATCAAAAATAAAATGAAATTAAATAAATAAAATGAAGTAAAATTATGAACTAATGCACCAGAGTCATTAACTATGGTTATACTGCAAAATGGAAATACTAAACCAAAAAGTGAAATGGCTTTCTTTTTAATTTTTTACCTTTCTAAACCTCTATAGTACTTAAATTTTGAGGTATGTGGAATAAGAATTACAAATTAAAAAATAATCTTGTTTTACCTGGTTAGTAGGAGATGCATGTCCAAACTCTTATGTGGCTGTAACTAGAATCAGTTAATTTAGGCAAGTGTTAGCTACAGCATTTTTGAGGGCCGTAACAAAATAGTTTCTCCCAGCTCTTTACCATTATAACTGAGCTCTAGGGCCCTAGATGAGATTATTGAAAACCTATTGTATTTTTTCACTCCCTTTGTTGATTAAGTCCTGACTTTCCATCAGGATTTTTGTAGAGTAACGGAACAATCCGCTGCACTAGTTTTAAACTGCTAGCAATAGCATCTCTTTATGATTTGTTTTTAATTTCTTGAAGGAATATCAAGGTCAGCTAACCTGAAGTTTCTGTTGTATATGCTAAGGCACATGAAGCAATTTTGCACTAGAGGCAACTTCAGAAATAAAACCAGAACTACTCTGAATCATTAAAATGTAAAAATCATTTACTTAGGACCATTTGGAAAGTTCTTGCTGATGCATTTGTGCATACGAGTTGTCATTATTTATGAGTTGATTTGTAAATGAGATTAACTCAACTAAAACTAAAAATCTTTTAGAAATGAATAGATATTCTCAACACCTATTTATATTCTTTATCTGCACAACTCTGTCCATCACTATTGAGAACTATCAAAAAATGTTGACTCTTTGTAAGATCCATCACTTTTGTGATACTAATATTTTATATGTGTTAAATTAAAGTAGGACTAAAAGAATTGGGGGTCATTGCCATAACTAGACATCTTGGAAATATGTACGTCAGAACAGTGTCAAGCAAGAGTTAAAGGACTGTTAATCACTGATCTGCAAAACCTATTTACTTGGGAATAAATCCCACTGAATTCAGTAGATCTAACCTTTAGGAGATATTCCTAGGATTGCACTGCTTAACATATTAATATCAGTATATTGACAGCACACTAATATCAGTATTAGAAAGATGAATGACTGAAATCTACTTCCTATTCCAGTGTTGTTTCTTGTTCAGAACATTGAAGCATATGAGACTTCAGAAAGCTTTCCGATTTTTTTATAGCCCGGAATAAACGGTTTAATTGTGTTATGGAAATGCAAATGCAGCATTGCTATGAAAAATAATCATGGTAAAAAGACAGGTAAATGGAACCAGCAAATGTATTCATTTGCAGTCTGTTGAAAGCTGTTTTTAATGTCTGAGGAAGAGAAAATTCATTGCTAGCAGGAAAATAGCTGTAAACAATTACAGAGTACATATTATATTCAGTCAAATATTTTAAAAGGCCAAATTTGGCTAGTCACCTAGTCAATGAAGGGCAAAAATATGCACGCTGCACAAATGGTTATTCAGAATTAGTGGCATCATTCAAATAGTTACAGGATAGACATTTACAGTCTTCACTTGGAGAAAAAGCTCCTGCTTAACGAGAAAACAGGCTGAGATAATAGAAGAGCTTGACCTGAGATGTGGTATTTCTGTTGAAACAAAATAGTCATACCCATATCATATAGACAATATTTCAAATCTCTGCATTTTTACAAACTCAGAATATTCAATCAGGCATAGTAAAAACAAGAAATATGCTTAATGCTATTATTTGGATTTAGAGATACCTTGCACAAATGAAAAAGTTCATCAACAAATTCCTTGAATTTCCCATTGGTGCCATGGCATAATGCCAAAGGTTATCTTGACCTGCAGGAATGTTTTTGAAAAAAGAGTAGGAACAGAGGAGGAGGAGGAACCAGGAAGCTGACACTGCCCAGTTCTGCAAAATCTTCACTGAATTTGACCTGTTGAATACCATCAGTCAATTAAATGATTATTTTGTCCAAAGAACCTGTCACTATCAATGTAACTCCCAGAATCTTTGATCACGGGCCAAATTGATTGGTGGAGCTGAGATTTGTACCTCACCAATATCAAAAGAGTTACATGTTCCTCTTCTTTGAACGACACTATACAGCAAATATAGGCTATTTAGTGGCCTTCTACTCCAAGGTTTTGGGTTCCAACTCTTATTATGGCATACAACAAGGAACCATAGGAGTTACAGTCCAAAACAGCTGATGTATACTATGTTGCTTCTATAATAATATAGCAGTCAGTCAGTATTATAATTTATTGAAATTTATCATAGTTCTAAATTTATTTTAAAGCAATGCACACTAAATAATTTCTACTCTAACTTATGACCAGTTCTTAATTAGGAAAAAAAAAACCTCTTGCTTTAGATTTATGGGTGCATAGAGCCTAATAAAATGCAATAGTCACATGGTTTTTATTACTATTAAAAATGTAAGAGCACCTATGTGAAAATTAATAAAAACTCTCTAGGATTGCTGATATACTATAACTTTGCTTTCATTTTGTCCTTAGGCTATGGGAAATGTCAATTTGCAGTTCATGAGAAGGAAAAAGCAAAACGTTTACTTGTAAAAGTGGTAAATTAATACAATAGATTTATGCAGTATTTTCAAATGTCATACAGGAAATATATTATTTTGGCAATTGTTGATTTAGGAAAAGTTTGTCATTGTTCATATTTTAGTCTGTGCTAACAAAGATGCACATTTTTGTAGAGAATATAATATATAATAAGCATACTATTCTCTGAACAGAAGCTTCTCTATATTGTAGGAATGAACTAACAATATTTATTGTGAATTCAAAAGCTTCTAAGCCACACTGGTTAGTAACAGCAACACTGCAAGCAGAGTAGACAAACTAATTATAGATTTATGGCACAACTATATTTTCAGTTTAATTGATCTCCAAAGGCACAATCCAGTCTGTCATAAGAGCTTTGGATCCATGGGAAATTATTCAGCACAGGGCACACAAAATCTCCTTTTGATTTCTTACCTTCATTTCCAGGCACATAAAGCTATTTACACAGAATCCAATTAAGACAGTTAAACAAGCATGAATTCTTCTCCCTCACACCTTCCTCCTTTCTCTGCTTCAGCTAATAAAGGAATAAGAATGTGGTGGTGATTTATTACTGCTTGTGCCAGTGTATCCTCGGCTAACTGATTTTTCTAAGAGTAATGGTAGTTGGCTTAATCTTGAGGCTGTTCAGATGTACAACAAGCTCCTTCCCAGTTAGGAATAAGAGAGTGTTCGTTCCATTGGCTGGCCTGGTCTCTCAAACTGGCAGGACTTGATCTTCTTCAGCACTAACTGCATCTGCCTTGAGAAGATGCATCCCTTACTGGCTATCTCTCTTCTTCAGTAGTCTTGCCTGGACTCCACCCAGGAACACTTTAGAACCCTTGCCCCAAACTCTTCTGGAACCAGCATGCCTTCAGCAATTCAAACTGCCTAAAATCCACTTTGGTTTCGAATCATCATCTTTTCTTCTTCCCCCAAATCTCCTCAACTTTCACTATCTTACTTCTTTTCCATATCTGCCCACCCTGTCTAGGAAAGTTTTTGCCTATATGAAAAGTTTATTCTCTGCTCTTCTTCCAAACTGCATTATCATAGATGAATAGCTTCCTTGTCTGCAAGCTCAGGTGACAGGGTAGTGGACCGTGCTTAGTTGCTATATATTGTCACTCAGTCCAAAATGAAGTATTTATAGATCACCCTGCTAGACATATATTCCTGAAGTTCAGATCTCTTGGAGTTTACTCCTAAGTAAGGAATATAGGATTGCAGTAAGTGAGCCATGCATAATGTTAATCTCTCCTATTAAAGGCAATAGTGTGAAAATTGAACATTAAAGTATTCAGGTTAGTGCATATTCATTTATAAGCGTAGAATAGAAATATGTTCATAGTGGCTGAAGAACCATTCTACTGTAGTCTCATGCCAACCTCATGTCACTATTAAGGGTGTATTTCTTTGTCTTCCTTGATGATGGTACACGGATGCACATACCAATGTATCTATGTACATTCTGCTTGGCTACATGTTATTCTAATTGAATTTAAGACAAAAATACATGGTTTTGCAGCTACCTCTGTGAAGCAGCTTATTCTAGGTTGTAATTCTGAAATGAAAGCTTAGTGTTCTATCTTAGTTTTGCTCTAGCAGAAGCTAGCCAAGAACTCATGATCCTGTAGCATTTTTGTGAACATCAATCTTGATTTTGTTGATATTTGCCATTTATGTCAAATCCCAGGGATCAGAAGTTCAATTCAGCTCTGAAGAGGACTGAATAGGATGTTCCCCAGGTCACTTCAGTTCAGAGGAAGCTATCTTATTCTTTTGTGTGGTCCTAGCTTGAGTTGAAAGTACCGTACATTAAAAGTTGGCTCTGCTTTTGAAGAAAATACTCCCATGACCTCTGCAGTTTCCCACTCATGCTGGAGGCTAAGGAGTCAAAAAAAAAGGTTACAGGCTGTTGAAGTTTAAAGAGAATAGGAAGCAGGGGTGGAGGGGATTAAAAACTACCTCTTAACTTAGCCAGTGTTTTTAAGCTTACAAAAAGTTGCTGGGAGAGCAGTTACTCTATAGAAGAGTAGTTTGTAGTTTCTTGCAGTAAACAATCTTAGATCTTGACAGGTCTTGTTCTATCAAGCCAAGACCAAATATGTTTGGAGAAAAAGGTACCCTTAACCTTTAAGGCTATCATAAAGATTTTTTAAAAAGAAATAGGAAAAAAGACTATAAAATTGCATGCAAAAGTTGAGGCACCTCTGGTTAAATTGTATATTTCAGTGAATCCTTAATTACACTGAGGCTGACAAAAAGCTTTCCATGATACAAAGTTAAGCACACCATCTTTTTTTCAAATTTGAACAGATACTACTATTTATACACAATTTGTATAGATTCAGTAACAAAACAATGAATATGGCAGGGACATATTCATTGTTTTGGGATCTCCCTTTCTATACTTTGTAGTATTTTTTCTAGCAGAAATAGCAGCTTCCAAACATTTTCTGTTGTTAAGACAATAGACATCTTTCTGTTCTTGCTTATGGATCTCTTTTCCATTCTTCTTTGCAGAAGCCTCCTAGAACAGAAGATGTCTTAGATTTTCTTATATGCACTATTTGTATCAGATCTCCCCAGAAATGTTCAATAATGTTCAAGCCTCAGAATGGTGAAAGCCATTCCAAAACCTGTTTCTTTAAAAAAAAGTGTCATGTTGAATTGGAGACCTGGTTTGGATCTTTACCTTATTGAACCTCTTAAGTTTTTTTCAGCCTCAGTGAAAACATAAAATCTGACCAGAAGTGCCTAAACATTTTCATGCCGCTGTATATGTATTTCACTTTTGTACTTACCAATTCGTCACCATAGAACCTTCTGCCCCAAAGGAATTGATTTGTTCAGTAAATGGGTGGGGAAAAAATAACAGTGTTCCACATTTTTCAGATAGGATATGTATGCATCATATAAAAATATTTGGGATTAGTTTTATGCAAATGTAAAAGATTTAAACCAAAATTATGTAATTGATTGATTTTCTGCAGTTGACTGCTTTAATGTGGTTGGTTTAGTATGCATAAAGCACTGATACTTTAAGCTTGCTAGACCTGGCTAGGCTCATGTTCATTAGCCCAACATTTCAGTAAAAAGTGTCCAGTTTAAGAAGAGATAGGTTTCTCAGATCAGGTTTTTTGGTTTTTTTTTGCATCCTTGTGACCATTTAATTTTCCCAGCTACCAATAAATCTGTCTGCTATAACTTGTTAGAAAGACTATTGACCATAATTGTTCAAAAGCAACTTTAGCTCCTCCCAGGTTTCCATGTAGCACTGGTACTCCATATTATCCAGTTATTTCCATAGGAATAAATTAAATCTTAAATACAAAGCAAAAGTTTTATGCTGATTTCCAAGGGGAATTCTGGCTTTTCTCCACAATCAGTACAATTAATAGTTCAGCTTTAAACTAAATTTTTTGCTCTGCCATTTTTTAAAAACCCCAATACTGTTATCACTTTAATTGTTGCCTCTGCAATTATAGCCACAGTCCAAATTAATTCTACTGGGGCACTCAGATATTGGAAAAATTCTGGTAATCCAGAGGAAAGTGAGTAGGGCAGGTGATACTGTTTTTTCAACCTTGGCAACTTCTAGCTGTCTGGACTTCAGATCTCAGCATTTCCCAGAAAACACAGCCATTGCTGGGAAATTGGGGAATCGAAATCTAGAAGCACATCTAGAAGTTCCCAGGACTAGGAAATGTTTTCCTATTCTATCCACATAGTCTATTCCTTTTGCAATAAAATCTAAGAGAAATAATTGCCCATAGTTTAGCAAAGTTGAGCCAATGCTTCTCACCCTTTCTAAGGCCAGATGTGAACAACCATTCTGGGGAATGAACACCTTTGGCTGTTCAGCTGATATTGGACTCCCAGTTCTTGTAAACCTCAGCCAGATGATGAAAGCCACTAACAGATGCTGCATCACTGTGGAGATTGAGAAAGCAAGGCTTGCCAACTATACGAGTACTCTGTGTTGCAATTCATTCCTCACCATTGGTCATATTGCTACATAGCTAGGAATTGGGGTTAAGAAGCATTTGGAAGGCAGAAGCTCAGCCCTTTAATATCTGGAGGAAGAGAAGGAAACCTAGTAGAGGTAGCCCTTGGCTTACAATCAGAATTGAGACTAAACTGTCTGTTCTAAGCAAGATGTCTGTTAAGTGAGTTGCACCCAATTTTACAAACTTTTTTTGCTGTGGTTGTAAAACAAATCACAGAAGTTGTTAAATGAATCAAGTAGACGTTAAGCAAATCCTGCTTCCCTGATTAATTTTGCTCATCAGAAGACAGCTGGAAAGGGCGATCGTGTGATCCCAGGATGTTGCAACCTTTATAAATACATGCCGGTTGCCAAATGCCCAAATTTTGATAATAAAATTATGGAAATGCTGTGTGCAAGGACTGACCATAAGTCACTTTTTTGTTGTTGTTGCTGTAACTGTGGTCACTAAATGAATTGTTGTAAGTCGAGGACTACCTGTCCCCACCAATACCAATGTGCCTGGAGATATTAGGTGCCTCTCCAGGCTTTCAATCCATCTGAATTTGTTTTAAATTTAAAATGGATAAATAAATGAGAGGCTGGGCTGCCAACGAGCTTATTTAGTGATACATGGTTTGTAGCTCACATCTGTATTTGAAGATACGCCTCTTTCCCTCCGAAAGGTAAAAAGTAACTTGAAGTAGTAAAGAGCACCCTACAATGTCTAGCAGGAGAAAGTGTACCGGTGTTTGTGATTGCCTATATCTATTTCTGAATACAAAGCATCATGACATGTTTTCAGAATTGCAGTGTGTCTGTTTGCTCAAAACAGCGGTCTTTATTGGAAACCATTTTTTTTAGCCATTTCTGAACTGTATGAAAGGCAGCAAGGCTATTGAATGCGCACCTAAGAAATTTTTGGCCTTTTAATCATGGAGGTAAATTTGGAAAAAACTTCAAGATGCCTTCTGTTTAGATCACTTTCAAGGATCAATTTTTTAAAATGTGTGTACACAGCAAAGGGTTCTGCAATGCATAGAATATGCACCAATGTTCTATGCAAGATATCACCTAGGAAGCCCATGCTTGGTGCACGTATGTTGTATTATGTTACATTTGCACCAACATATATACTAGGAATTCAGAATTTTATTTTAAAGTTTAGTGGAAATCTCCCAAGTGTTCACTAAAACCCTAATTTAAAATAGTAATTTCAGTCTACCCAAATCCAATGTTTTGGTCATAATGAAGTATAAAAGGAGGGGCTTTTGAAACCTCAAAAATTCTTGATATTTGTAGGTTTCTTTTGTACGTATTTTACATCTTGTCTCTAAGAGACAATTTGAAACATGGTTAGATGAAATGTAAATACGTTAACATTTGCTGTTAGTGTAACCTAAAAGTGACAGTACGCAGTCACTTCTAGATGTAGGCAGTTATGGTATCTTCAATGTGTGCGTTAGACAACATAGTTTTCCTTTTTTTAGATGTGTGAAGAATATATGTTCCATGCAATTGAGATTCTGTCTTAATGTCTACAGGAAGTGTAAACTACTGAGAAAAAAAGGGAAAAAATAAAACAAAAGCCTTGGCTGTATGGTTAAAATCAAAAATAAAGGCTTCAAACGAAGCATATTTAAATAAACAAGTCTAATTTTAATTGTGTGTGTTAGATTCATTTTAAACCAGCTGACTTTCCAAAAAGCATGTTCTGTCTTACATATGAATAACATCAAAAATTTACTTCTTTCTTGTACAGGTAGTTTTCGACTTACAACACTTCATTTAGTGACCATTCAAAGAAACAACGGCACTGAAAAAAAGTAACTTATGATCATTTTTCACACTTATGATCATTGCATCATCCCCATGGTCAGGTGAAGAAATTCAGATGCTTGGCAACTGGCCCAGTGTCCCTGGGTCTATATGATTAGCTTTTGGGACCTTCTGACAAGCAAAGTCAATGGGGAAGCCAGATTCACTTAACAACCATGTTACTAAGATAACTGCATTATTTCACTTAACAACTGTGGCAAGAAAAGTTGTAAAATGAAGCAAAATTCACTTAACTGTCTCAGCAACATAAATTTTGGGCTCAATTGTGGTTGTAAGTCAAGGACTACCTGTGTTCTGAGTTAGCTGAAGAACAGGATGAAAAAGAGACATTTCCTTCTTGTGCAGGCAAAATTCGATTATTCTTGTTGATTTTGGAAGTGAAATGGAGCCATAGAAAGCCTGGTTAATTAGGGTTTATATCTCACCAACCTATCTGCATTTTAATACAAGTTGCAGGCAAACAATAATGAAGTTTAAAAGGTCTGATTCGTTCAGCTCCCAAATGGTTAGGCCAGGATAACATAGACCAAGTCAGGTTTCAGAATGACTTTGCAAACCTTGGTTAAACAGCAGCAATAAAGGGAAGTATAAGACGGCTCAGTGCTTGTGTTCATTAATCAAGCTTTTTGGATTAGTGTATTATGTGAACACAGCTTTACAGAATGCTGAAGTATATAATTTCTAGCAATAACTGCCTGTAGGGAAATAAGGTAGAATTTGGAGAGACCAAATTATTTCTTTGAATCTTTCAAGAGCTGGGAGTCTGCTAGAACAAAGTAAAGGAAGAAATATATTTTTAAGTCTCCTCTTCCGCTGTCATATCATCATCCCCATTACATACATTTATATCATTATTCACATTTATCTTCCACCTGTATATTCAAGCTTTCAAACCAATTTACAGAAATAAACCAAAAGGCAAACTATAAACCACAATACAATCAAAACATCTGAAATAAGTGTAATTAAAAGCTTGATGAAATTAAATGTAAAAGGATCTCAGCTAGAGTAAATGTGTTGAGAACCCACATTTTCTATTTCATGTTCTATAGATACTAGGTTCCCACTTTTCCATTCCATTTTGGTAAAATCAGAAGTATGCTGATAACTCACATGTAACTACAGTAGCTTTCAAGTAAAAGTATTATTTACTACATCACAATACCCATTCTTGTTGTGAGAGTCAGTTTAATATTGTGGTTAAGGCACCAGGCTAGAACTCAAAAGACCCTGAGTTCTGGCCTACCTTAAGCAGAAAGCCAACTGGTGACTTTAAGCCAGTCACTCTCTCTCAGCCCTAGAAAGAAGGCAATGGCAAACCACTTTTGTGATCTACTAATGTAGATCACAACCTACTACTTGATAAGATAGAAAAATGTGGGGTAGACAGAGTCACCACCAGATGGATCCGTAGCTGGCTGACCGGCTGTACTCAGCGAGTGGTCCTCAATGGAACTGCATCTATATGGAGGGAAGTGTGTAGTGGGGTGCCCCAGAGCTCTGTCCTGGGCCCAGTGCTCTTCAACATCTTCATCAACAATTTGGATGAAGGGATAGATGGGGAACTCATCAAATTTGCAGACGACACCAAGCTGGCAGGAATAGCCAACACTCCAGAAGACAGGCTTAAGATACAGAAGGATCTGGACAGATTTGAACACTGGGCACTAACTAACAAAATGAAATTCAATGGTGAAAAAAGCAAGGTTCTACATTTAGGCAAGAAAAACCAAATGCACAACTACAGCATAGGTGGCACCATGCTCAATAGTAGTAACTGTGAGAGGGACCTCGGAGTCCTAGTAGACAATCACCTAAATATGAGCCAGCAGTGTGCTGCAGCTGCCAAAAAGGCCAACACAGTGCTAGGCTGCATTAACAAAGAGATAGAATCAAGATCATGTGAAGTATTAATACCACTCTTCAATGCCCTGGTAAGGCCACACTTGGAATACTGCATCCAGTTTTGGTCACCACGATGTAAAAAAGATGTTGAGACTCTAGAAAGAGTACAGAGAAGAGCAACAAAGATGATTAGGGAACTGGAGGCTAAAACATATAAGGAACGGTTGCTAGAATTGGGTATGTATAGTTTAACGAAGAGAAGGACAAGGGGGGACATGATAGCAGTATTCCAATATCTCAGGGACTGCCATAAAGAAGAGGGAATCAAGCTATTTTCCAAAGCACCTGAAGGCAGGACAAGAAGCAACGGGTGGAAACTAATCAAGGAGAGAAGCAACCTAGAACTAAGGAGAAACTTCTTGACAGTGAGAACAATTAATCAGTGGAACAGCCTGCCTCCAGAAGCAGTAAATGCTCCAACACTGGAAGTTTTTAAGAAGAGACTGGACAGCCATTTGTCCGAAATGGTGTAGGGTTTCCTGCCTGAGCAGGGGGTTGGACTAGATGACCTCCAAGGTTCCTTCCAACTTTACTACTATTACTATTACTTTGGAAATCCTATCAAAAAAACTGTCAGCTGGAGTCAACACTGATCTGAAGGCACAAAACAAATAATGGTATTAATATAGCAAGTTGATTTCAAAGACAATAAGCTTAGAACAGTTTCCTTTAAAATGCAGAAACATTGACTTAAATATTAGTAAAGCAATTTGATTCATTTTCCCCACCTTCAGGACCATGGGGTATAATTAAATCTCTCTTTGAATGATGCTTGTTGACACAGGAAAATGAGCTTTCAGTGATAATGGTTTCCAATTCTATTTCCTACTTACAATTAAATATACCATGTTTTGACACTTAAATATACCATGTTTTGCATCAAATGTCATAATATCATAGAGCATAAGTTGCAATAATAGGAAAGTAGAAATAGCAGACTAAGCAGATTTCTGAGTGCTGTGTGGAAAAGGCCCAATGCTCATTATATATACAATAACATTAAGATCCATAAAACCTAAATTTACTGGCTGTGGGTTCTGGATGTTGGAAAACAGTTCAAATTCTCATGCATCTGGGGGCAATATTCCTTTGTACGGTAGTATAGGAGGTGAAAACAAGTCATGAATAAAAGAAGTGATAGAACTATTCCTTACACCAAGAAAAATTAGCATGTAAATAGAATAGTCTCTATGGAGTCCCTAGTGTTCTCTGAGTTTGGTTGTTTTGACTGTTTACTTGCAGACATTTCATCTTCAACACTGAAGACATTACCTAGTTGGGTAATGAAATGTCTATAAGAAAACATCCAAGTTCACAGAGCACCAAGGACTTCACAGTTCAACCTTAAACTACAAATATTCTCCTCTTTTGGAATAGTCTCCATTTGCCATCAGTCAATGAGTAGAAACATGAGAAATTCTTGTTATGTAACAAAAGAAGTTATGTAAATTTCTTTTATGGGAATAATATTGATTATCTAATCTAACTAAGCTTTCTCTAGCTTTTTCCTAGAAAACTATGTTCTACTTATTTAATGAATAATTCATATGTCACTTATATTCAGCACTTTCAAAGAGAGGAGATCAGAAATCATTTCAAAAGTAAACTGAACAATTCTAGGGGGGCCACCAAGGTAGACAAAATCTGAAAATCAAAGACTGGCAATACTACTTTTATTATAAAGTTATAATAACAGAATCTTGCAAGTCTGAATGCGCTTTCTTTATCTTCGTGAGAACTAGGAAGGTCATATATGAAATGCTTTTTCAAATTACATTTCAAGTCCAGACTTAGATTTCTTTTATCTGGCTGTTATGCCTTGGTTGCAGTTCCTCCTCCTGTTCTTGCTGGGCGCAAGAATTCTGGGAGGTGAAGTCCACGGGTCTTAAAGTTACTATAGTTGTCCATGCCTGCTCAAGATTATTTTTTGTCAGTTACAATATTTCCTGTCCAAGTGCTAAGCAGCTTGCCTCTGCTGAACTTTTCAAGAGCAGCCAGAGTTGGCTAAGTGCCATATCACTGTTGTGACAATTTTGCAGTGACAATAACTCCCTCAAAAACTCAGTTCGCTCATTATGGTTTTGGGGTTGACTTTGCACCCTAATGCATTCTGGGTTAAAAAATGAAATCATTTAAAATACATGTATTTATTCAAAAATCAATTCCAAGAAGATTTTGTCATTAATATCACTGAAATTTAAAAGTAGTTGTGACTATGGAAAAATTTGTTTGGAGTTGTAAAATAGGAAGATGTTTTATGGCCGCTAGAGGTCACTCTAGGTCAATAAAACACTCGTTTTATTTTAAAGAGAAATCAGCAATACAGTGATAAACACTGTTAAATTCATGGCAATATTTCAGATTGTTGCACATTGTTAAATAGTAATGTTTACTTATGAATTCCTCAGAAGCAAATGGCTGATGTTTTTATCCTGATTTTCTCTGGATCCTATTTTCCTGCTTCTTAATGACCCAGTCTCAGCTAGAAAAGGGGTGAAGTAGTGGTTGACATTCCAGCTCCTTAACATCTGTCCCAGATGAGTTGGGTCTACAAGAACAAGAATCCCTAGTGGAAAAAGTGCTTTGAGGCATTGGGGATGTCAGCTGTTTCTCTTTTCTGTCTTTCACACACAGGCATGCAATTTTATGTTCTATTTACTCAAGCAATCCCAGAGTCTTTGCCTCTGTCTCTGTAAGAAAGAATAGTTGATTGCATCCCACTTTTTTCACTTCTAAGTCCAAGAATATGACTACACTACATCCTGGCTCTGTAACATGTTTTCAGTCTGGAAAAGACTATTTAGCGACTGCAGCAAAGGAGGAATAACTATTATCTCTGTAACTAGAGTTGTAATGATAATGCTAGCCAGTCAACTTATTTATGCATCTTTAGCTCCATCAGTCAGTAATTCTTCAATG